AACAAACCATGTGGTGTGCTGTTACATTCACCTTCGAACCCGGGATTCAACCATTAGGGGCGTTTCAATAAAAAAAAACGCAAATCATGCAAATTTAGCATTTTTAAACCAGTATACTAAAAAAGAAATGCTCAGCGATGCAAAAGAAGGATAGATATTACTTTTCAGTATACACATCTCTGTTTATACAATCCCTCACATATTCTACTCCCAATTATTCCAGCGTAAAATGTAATAGCCTCTTTCCATGTTGACATTCTGAGTAAAATCACGTGATAGGCTGTTACAATAAGCCCCTTTCCAATTCCATCCTCCATTGTATTTCCCATGATGCTTAGAGAAAGGTCACGGGGTATAAACATTGAGTACAGGAAACAGCACTGATACAAGTACTATACACAACAAGCTCTATTTTTTCCAGAAACCAACCATTTAAGGTGAGTTTTCTCAATATTTTTCACTGTGATTAACTTAAACCTTTGACAGATTAGTTTATAGTGTGTTTTAATTGCAAAGGAAATCTTTATTTCATTAAATGACTCAGTTTGTTCATAATATTTGTAGTCATATAAAGCTTTGCATTATTGTCCATTTTTTATAGTTGAACAATTTAGTCTTAACATTTTTTTATATGTAATCTGCTAGCTTAGCCTTGTCTATTTTTTTATGTGCATTTCCTATTTTTTCCTATTATTTATTCTTAAACATTGCCAATCCCACCAGGGAATGTGTAAGTGTTAATAAATTTCAATTACTTGTTGGATACCTTGACATTTCAGCACAGAGGATGTTCATTGAATGTATAAAAAAGGCTTTGTGAAAATGTTTAAATAAGTTAACTTTTAACAGCAAAGCACGCTTTACTGGGTGTTGATTTTTTCTGTTCATCTGACATTTTCCAGTGTACAACAGTACAGGAAGTGATCCTAGTGTTAGCTTTTTCACAGTTCCATGGTTAACAAAGAGCCATTTAACAGTTTCATTCATAATAATTTAAACTGTTGACTTGGCTGTAACCAACATTTCACATTTATAAATTTGTTGTTTAGTTAAATTGTGTCCTCTCAGCCTATATCTACTTTAATGAGTGTATAGGGCCGTACTATGGATATATGCTGATGCTGTGTGGTAATTTGTTTTATTATAATTATAAAAAAAAAATGGGAATCACTGTTGTATCCAGTAATTTTGTTACTCATTCCAACTTACTTGTTTTGCTAATTTAGCCAATTTAATGCCAAACCGGTGTTGGACAGATTTGTGTATCAGTACAGTAATTGCCGAAATGTTTTGAAATGCCATATTTCAGGTCAATGGATAATCCAGATACCCATGAATTATATGACAACTTTCAAAGATATGGTGTGCCACAGCTCAGAGAATTCCTACGAAAAAGGGGTCTTCCTGTTTCAGGACGGAAGGATGAGCTCGTTGCCTTGGCATATGCTGCATCCCTGATGAAATTATCATTAGTTGCAACAGCTGCAGAGAAGTCAGCAGACAGAGAACAACAATATGCAGCAACACTGATGGTGGATGGAGAGAGACTTCCAGATCCTTTTATTGATCTCAAGTCTTGTTGGGAGGATGAGAACACTTCCATTTCAAAGTGGCCTCCAACTATGATAACTGATGTTCAGTTGTATCTACAGCGCCATGAAACAGACGTAGAAAGTGCCAACCTGTCAAAGAGACTGTTAAAGGATTACAAAGAGGGGAAAGCATTCAGCTACTTTTCATCTCAATTTCTCTTTGAGATATTTTATCACCCAATATCTACTAATAGTCCCTACTGTTTCTTGAAAACAAAGTGTACGCCATCCCAAAGGATCAGTCATGAACCTCACAATGTGTGGGTTGCAATAAATAAAGAGAGTGGAGAAATTAAGAGTTCCTATTGCACATGTGTAGCTGGGTGAGCATAATTTTTTTTTTTAATTTAGATTTAAAGTAATATTTTGACTGTTAAGGCTGGTAAAGACGGTGACTGACATTTGTACAAATTTGGATCTCAATAATCAATACTTGAAATATGATACAGGTGGGGGCATTCTTTATTATAATGAATTTACCTCTAATTTACACCTGTCACAACTGAGGAAATTCTAAAACTAAGCAAAAAGCAATTTGAGTGGTCACTATTAATTATTAAATTTTGCTAAATTGTTAGTTCTGATAAACTGAATGAAAATAATTATGCAAGTCTTCTTTTTTAATGTACTTTATTTTACAGACTTGGCCGAATCTGTAATCATGTTGCAGCAGTTCTGCTTAAACTTGATTTTTGCTGGAAGTATGGGATAGTTGTGAAATCAAAGACCTCATTGCCTTGTACATGGAA